AAAAAAAAAAAAAAAGATGCTGGTTCAATACAAGCGTATGCTTAAATTTACAAGAAATTTCCAAACTGCTTTCTAAAGTGACTGTAACATTGCTCATTCCCATCTGCAGTGTGTGAACATTTCATTGGCTCTGCGTCCTCCACGGGCTCAGCCTTGCACGTATGTGTTAACTTTTTAAAAAGCCTGCCGAACTCTTTGCTAAGTGGTTGTGTCATTTGACGCTCCTACGGTTCTGGTTCCTTCCTGACCCCATCAGTACTTGGCGTGGCCAGTCTTTTTCAATTTCAGCCCATCGAGTTGGTGCATAGTTGCATCCCATAGCAGCTTTAATGTGAATTTCCCCTAAAGACGAATTATTTTGAGCAGCTTGTTAGGTGCTCATTTGCCACCTGTGTATCTTTTTTTTTTTTCCTTTTTAAAAATTCAGTTGTTTGTTCTTATCTTATGGAGTTTTAAGAGTTCGTTATAAATTCTGGGAACAGGATCTTTAGCAGCTATGTGACTATCAAATACTAAGTCTCAAATTATGATATACTTTTCTATGCCTTAAAGGTACCTTTCCAAGAGAATTTTTTTATGTTGATAAAGTTAAATTATCAAAAAAATGTGTCCTGTGTGCTTTTGGAGTTATATCTAAGAAATCTTTGCCTAAACCAACATCACAGATTTTCTCTTGTATTTCTTCTAGTTTTATAGTTTTAGGTTCTGCATTTAAGTCAAGGATCCATTTGAGTTAATTTTTATGCAGAGAGCAAGGTATGGATCAGGTTCATTTTTTTAAATATGAATATTCCATTCTGGTACTATTTGTTCAAAAATGATCCTTTCTCCATCAAATTGTGGTTGTACTTTTGTAGAAAATCAACAGATTGTATATGTGTGGGCCTATTTCTGAACTGTTACTTCCATTAGGTCTGAATGCCAATCCTTTTTCCAATATGACAAGCTATCTTATTATATATGTCTCTTTTAAAAATATTTTTTAGTCTATGCCTTAGAGCTTACAACACATGTCTTCAATCAGAAAGTATCTTCAAATATCATCATGCTACTTGGCATGTTGTGTAAGGATCTTCCAGTAGCATATTCCTAATTCCTCCCTCTCCTATTTTGTGCTATTGATGCCAAATATTTTACTTTTTTAAAATATTTAATTTATTTATTTGACAGAGAGAGACACAGCAAGAGAGGGAACAAAGCAGGGGGAGTGGGAGAGGGAGAAGCAGGCTTCCCGCCCAACAGAGAGCCCAATGCGGGGCTCGATCCCAGGACCCTGGGATCATGACCTGAGCTGAAGGCAGATGCTTAACGACTGAGACACCAGGCGTCCCAGCCAAATATTTTACTTTTATTTATTCTACAAACACATAATACTTTGCTAATATTTTTGCTTCAGACTAGGAATTGGCAAACGGTGGCCCATAGGCTTCGTCCAGCCCATTGACTGTTTTTGTCAATATGCTACCTGTTTTTGTACATCCCACAAGTAAAGAATGGTCTTTACCTGTTTTTGACGTTTGGGTGGAAAAAAATCAAAAGAATATTGTATGACACATGAAAATTATAAAAAATTCCAATTTCAGCATCCATAATACAGTTTTACTGGAACATAAGCATGCTCATTCATTCATGAATTTTCCAAGAATACTGTTGTAGCCAGTTCAGAGGTCAGCAGCTATAACAGAGACTGTAGGGAACGTATAGTTTAAAGTAAATGTTTGGCCCTTTATGGAACATTTTGCCAACCCCGCCTTTTGAATATCCGTTATCTTTTAGAGTACTTAAAAATAAGAAAAACAAATTTTATAATACCTTTAGTGTACTTTTCTTTGTATAGATTTAAATTTCCATAGGGCTTTAAATTCCTTTGCCTGGGGCTCCTGGATGGTGCAGTTGGTTGAGTGTCCGACTCTTGGTTTCAGCTCAGGTCGTGATCTCGGGGTTGTGGGATTGAGCCCCAGGATGGGCTCCACACTTAGCACTGAATCTGCTTGAAACTCTCTCTCCCTCTCCTTCTATCTCCCCCCCACAATCCCTCTCTCTCAAATAAAGAAATAAATCTTTTAATAAATAAATTCCTGGGGCGCCTGGGTGGCTCAGTTGGTTAAGCGTCTGCCTTCAGCTCAGGTCATGATCCCAGGGTCCTGGGATCGAGTCCCGCATTGGACTCCCTGCTCAGCGGGGAGTCTGTTTCTCCCTCTACCCCTCCCCCCTGCTCATGCTCTCCCTCACTCTCTCACCCATGCTCTCTTTCTCTCTCTCATAAATAAATCTTTAAAATAATAATAAATAAATTCCTTTGCTTAACATTTCTTAACATTTTCTTTAATTCAGTCCCACTGAGTAAATTACCTCAGTTTTGTGGGTCTGAAAATGTCTATTTCTCCTCCATGTTTGAATATTTTTTACTAGTTTGGAATTCTGCTTTGACAGTTGTCTTTATCTTTCAGAACATTAAAGATGTC